AGAGAGAGAGAGAGAGAGAGAGAGAGAGAGAGAGAGAGAGAGAGAGAGAGAGAAAGAGAGAGAGAGCACATGTCAGGGTGTTGTCTTTTCCTCCCTCATCTCTGTAGTTTTGACAGGTGGCGTCAGTCATTTTTTTTGCCCATGACTATCTTTGTTGGTTTTCCTTCTCGGTGATTGGCTTGATATTCCCTCTTTACTCCTGCTTGCAGTGCAAATTTACCGAGATCGGGTACAATGATTGTTTGTGCATGGCTTCGGTGAGCTTGGACTATGACGATGTGGTCTTATTCGGTTACGAGGATTGATGCATGAATCTTTGTCAATTTCTTGTTTCGGTTTTTCTAGGAATTCGCACCGTCTTCGAATGTCGATGAATGCATGGGTATTGGGTCTAGGGAAAATGCGTATTCGGAACGAAGGTATCGGGCGGACCAATCACCTGATTGTTGGCGCGATCCCTGTCGGATCACACGGACACGTAGGAATCTCGGACATGAATAAACTAGAGCACACGCAATTAAGCGACTAATTAAATGCGCCCAACTGAACTCATCCCCCAATGATTGGCCAACCTTTGCGAGCTCTTCTGTCTTATTGGAATGCATGCCATTCTTTGGGAAACCAAAAAATTTCGACACATATGTGCATGTCAATTTCCCGTTCTTGCTGATGTATGTTTTTTTTTTTGATAAATGAATGTTTGATCCAAACGTGTGATTGCCTTCTGATTGACTTCCTGATGCCTGTCTTTGGACTCACGCATTCGAATGTGTAAGTGCCACGTATCGGGCTAGCACGACGACTGATTAGATGATCGCCCGACGGGAGAACAGCCAGCCGATCCGGCCCGACCGATTGCGAACGTGATCTTGTGCACGCACGTGTAGGCTCGACCAGAAACGGCGTTGCCTACACACGTGTTTGCAAAACCCGCGTTCGAACCCATGTCTAAACCTGCAAATTTTCGACGGCATGGACAGTAGTACTCCATCCCACGTCACGGATCGGGAAAGCCTAAGACGGTTCCGAGAATGCTGGGAGTGGAAGAACGCCTGCCTTCTCGCGCGACCCAGACCCAACCCTCCGAAATTCCCCTACCGGACCGGAAACGAACGTGTCTGTGAGTGGGACATTGAACGGACCTTAAGCGCGATCCCTTTTCCCTCCCAATTCCCCAGTTCACACGCGAGCCACGTCATCGCCGAACTGGGTGTCGTCATCATAGAGACAGACTTCCCTCCTTACCACCTCGTACTGCCCTTTTATTGCCTAGCGGCTGTCCCGTGGCACGCGATCGCCCCCTACTGGCCCTGACCCCCGTGCTCCGAGTGCCAGCAAGACAATGAGTACCGAGCCGCGGGATTCGTTCGACAAACCCGGACGGAGGCCGAACAGCGAACGCACAGCCTTCGCCTGAGGCCAGCCTCGTCGGATTCCGAGGCTTGCCACAAGCGACCCCGGCGAGTAATCAGACAGCGCGACACCTGTAGCGTTCCGCCAGTACACCAGATTCGAGCCCGGCCTCGGCAACGAAACTCACGAGGATGGTGATGACATCCCTCGAGGCGTAAAAGCCAGCCGAGACCCGCACTTACCATCTTGCACAATTGTTCCTGAGACTTGCCACAGGAGATCCCAGTTCCGACCTGGGACTCCACCCCCACTATCCTAAAATCCTTGGCACACCCCTTTTCGCACTTCGGGGCCCCCATTTCACTCCGAACAGGAAGTCGCGCTGGGTGTGAGGTCTGGGCGTCACAGCGTGACCCACCCCACCTCTGATCCGCGTCCCGGGCCCTGGTCTCAACTGTACTACGCATCTGCTTCTTTTGGAAAGAGCCAGGAGAGGCTTACGTTGCTCTGTAACCAACTGGCGCGCTGCAACATAAGGGAGAAATCTCCAAAATAGGGATCTCGATCATCTCGTGGATATTGCATACTCACACGGCAACCTATAATCCCAAAATCCCCAAAAAAAGGGGAAAAGGGGGTCACAGGGATCTACCAAATCCGCAAATATACTATTGCTCTGCTGATTTGTCAGCGGCCTTGGAAGCTGCGGGGCAAGGGATGTTGCCGTCACCTCCGCAAATGCCCATTTTTATTTTCGGATTTGGCAAAATCGCTTCGCTATTTGTTATAGAAAATACGGGCTGTAAATGGGATTTTGGGGTTTTAGACGTACCCATGGTCTGGTCACATGCGCGGGGGGTTGCTCCTCTAAGCCCATGTCCCAAAGGCCGTCGATCTGTTTAGGTGCTGGTGAAGAGGAGACCAAAAAAGTGCTGGAGTGCATCTGGCCCGTGAACCAGCCTGGGGGGCGGCCGCTCCCGGAAGCCCGTGTGGCGGCTGACGCCCGCCGACGTGCACAGCGCAAGAGCCAAAAAAAAAAAAAAAAAAAAAAAAAAAAAAAGGAGGCTGGCCCTGTGTGACCGGCGATTCCCCCAATCCCCATTTCGGCACTCGGCCCAGACCATGCCTTATTACATATGGGAAGGGAGGGCTCATTCCTCCCACTACTAGTCTAGCATAGTTTATCTATTTCGTATCGTATTGTATCCTAGACTGCCGTTTTTCCCCGAACATAACGCACCCTAAGTCTGAATGTATAGAAGCGATCTTTCCAGTCCGGTGGAGCTAAAATGAGGGTGCGTTGTGTTCGGGGGAAGACGGTAGTCTGTTGAAATAACAAAACAACGATTTCGGCCGTGGTACAGTCACAGTGAGATGGTGCGTTCTATTCGGGGGATGGGTGGCAGACGCAGAGATTTCGCAATTTATACGGATCTTCGCGTGGCCCCGCCGTTTGTCCATGTGGCCGCCAAAACAGATCTCCACCTGTGTATGTCCACGTGGCAGTCTCATCACACGGCTAAGCTGCCACAGTATATGTTGACGTGTGTTGTCCACACGGCCACAGAATGGACAAGTCAGATTTTTTTGTTTTTTTTTTTGTTTTTTTTGTTTTGTTTTGACAGAATCTGACGGCCCTAATAGGAAAAAGGAAAAAATACCACCAATGATTGCTCGAAAATTGCACGCCTACCAACGGGCCTAGCCCAGCTAGTACACACGCCCGTGTGAATTGCTTAAATGCAGGCCCATGGAAAAAATACCACCAAGAAGTGCAAAAAGGGAAAAAAAAACGAAAACAGAAGAAATTGCACGATTTTGGGTGCGGGCATGTTCCTTCTCCCCCCGCGGCCCCGCCTGATCATGATGAATGTATATATGCTATGTTTCCGGTCGGATCTGTACTTCCATGATGACGGTGCACTTGTGTTTTAAGGAAGATTGCACCGTCTTCACCCGAGCGGAACGCACTTTTCCGGTCGGATCTGTACTTCCATTATCAGTCGGGACGGTGCACTTGTGTTTTGGGGAAGATGCCCCCGTATATAGACTGAAAGTTGTCCCAAACACAGCTGTAATTCCAGCGCGTTCTATTCGGGGGAAGATGCTAGCAGTGACATCGTGTGATTTTCTTTATCAACACAGAGCACCTTGCAAGGACAAAGGGCGAGAGCCAAATGACAGCAATCCAAACTGCAACAGCACATTGAAGGACAGATAGCACCAGGCGCCTTGCATCCGAAATAAAAATGACAAAAGGCCATGTATCAGTCGGGATGATGCTTCTTATAGAAATCTACAACACACCAAGRCTCAAATTTGTGTCACACATTCATTCAGTACGTCATTGAGCATACTCGTTGACAAAGGGAACAGACGGTAAGCCTGGCATAAAGAATTCTCCACTCTCTTGTATAAGATAGCACTAATCCGATGGAAGGCGAGATATGATCGCCATCATCGCCGGCCCCAAAAACACGTGTGGATAAGCCATTATAGAGGACGGATTAACTGTCAAGTCGTGGTGTCAGGGTGCGCCACGGACAGTTCACCCGATGGAACAGATGGACTTGTGGTGACTGTGGTAAATCCCACAGACAGATTTGGACCAGTTCTCGATTTCTGCGTGTCATCCTTACTTCCGCAGGGGCCATGCTAATCTTCTCTGTGTCCGTCCAATTTGAACGGATGTCCCTAACGACAGATTTGGACTCCCTACACGGACAGTTCACCCGATGGGACAGATGGACTTGTGGTGACTGTGGTAAATCCCACGGACAGATTTGGACCATTTCTCGATTTCTGCGTGTCATCCTTACTTCCGCAGGGGCCATGCTAATCTTCTCTGTATCCGTCCAATTTGAACTGATGTCCCTAACGACAGATTTGGACTCCCTACATTTCCTTCTTACAAAATTCCTGAGGAAACTACCCCTTTCAGAGCAACAGGGCACAGCCCGCCCTGTCCACTCTCATCTCTTGATACCTACTAAAGAAGGGCCCGAGTGCTTTTTAGAATGGTTTGAAGTCAGGTGCTTCTCCCCTCTCTGCCTGTGCAAAGCTTTTGTGATTGTTGTTTTCTCAAAGGAGAAAAAAAGGCGGGAAAAAAAGGACAAGGAAAGATAGACGACGGCGAATGGAAGACAAAGATCCTACTGATCCGGCGTCTCGTGATGAAAGGAGAAGAAAACTAGATTTTCGACACAGGAGTCATAGAGACCAAGAGAGAGAGAGAGAGAGAGAGAGAGAGAGAGAGAGAGAGAGAGAGAGAGAGAGAGAGAGAGGGTCAGGCGTAATGGCGCTGGCCACGGACTAGATATAAACTACCCTTTGCGACTCCACAAATAGTGCAGTTTTCGAACCAGGCAGGGATGGGACACAGCAGACTGCATCTGGTGATGGGACAAGAAAACGCTTCCCATCCGGTATCTACCTTTTTGTTTCACCTCGAAAACAAGCGGCCACACTTTCTTTCATCGTTTACAACTACTGCTAGGAACGCGCTGCCATCTCCATGCTCTCCTTTCACACGAGCGCCGAGGAACGGTGGGTAGGATCTTCTCAAAAGTGCCACTGCATCGACCGTAGCCTGTTTCCCTCACATTTCCGCCGAGGGTGAGCCCTGACGAGTCGACTACCCTCCTCTCCCACCCGTCCGCTCTTTATCTCCTCCCGCTCACCCGCCAGGGCCGCCACCCTCAGTGCGAGATGGTGAACGGGGGTCTCAATTTTGCGGACACTGCCTCCATTGGAGATTGAAGATGAGCTGGAACTTGGTCTCCTGGGAGTCGAGCGCCATGACAGCCTTCTGGCCCTCCACTCTCACCACCGTCTTGATGTTCAGGTTGGGCGCGTTGTTGCACTCGCTCCAGACAAGCGTTAGGGAGTCGTCCGTGAACTCGAAGCTGCCAACCTTTGGGCCTTTGATTTTGCGTTCCACCATCGCCGTCCCTGTTTGTCCGGAGAAGTAGTAGTGCGTCTCGTAGATGCCGTCGGAGTTCTCGGCGATGTCAGCGAACCCGCGGCCCGTGGCCTGACCAATGGAGACGCTCCAGCCATCCGGGTAGCTCACAGAGAACGACATCTGGCAAGACTTCCTCTTGTCGGCGAGCGACCCGTCCGTGGTCGCAACCATCCCGCCGAACATGAAGGTGACAGTCTTGTAGTCGTTCGACAGCACCCAGTTGGTGTTGTCGTAATTGCAGCCATTGCCTGCGTAGGTGACATAACCGATGGTCACCTCAGTCGGAGTCTGCGCGCTCGCCTGAACTGCAGCAGCGATCAAGAGAAGAACGGCCGCAAGAACCACCTGACGCGCCACTGCCCTCGACCTCTGCCGCCACTCCCCCTCAACAAGCTTCACGGTGCACAGAGAATCTGAGAGAAACGCTGTCTGTCCTTGGAAGACACCAAGGCAGGCGGGAGGCGGACCTGGCTGCTCCTCCGTTGAAAGCCCCACTCCTCAACGTCTCTGCTATTCGTGTGCAAGCAAGGAGAGCACCGAGATTGCGAGTGTGTGCGTGATCTAAGTACGGTTGTCTAGTCGATGCCCGACCTAGGCAGTTCCGTTCGCTTTTATACAATGTCATTCGCTCGTAGCAGTCACTTAAGTTTGAGGTGCGCCTCGATCCAGCATCCATCTGCTGGGACGGGGTGGCCCTGAGCGAGTCACAACAGGCTCGTCCCTTCCGGCCCCAACGGCTCTTTGCGGCCCTAATGCTGTTACGTTCCAGTGAAAAAAATAGCACGACCTAACTCAGGGAGTTTTTGAGTTGTTTCAGACCGGCAATGCCGGTCAGCTTCATGCTCTGTGGCGGCCAGGGGGAGCAAGTTTTCTGTCTATTTTTAGTACAGCTGCAGTACTTGTACACTCAGATCGTGTGTAGGGCCACTGGTCTCTGAAGTCGAGGGTCCAGAATGAAGGCAAGTGGGACGTGCCCCCGGTTCTTTTGTCTGGAGGATGACATGGAATATGAGCATGCTCTCTGAAGCAACACATCGCTCTCTGCAATTGTTCCAAACGAAGAAAGAAAATGAAAGTTCACACGGAACGGTATTTCTCGGGCGACTCGCCAAAGCCAACCATTGCCAACGCAGCAGGGGAAAGTCGGGCTGGGAAGCCTTGAGCAGCTTGAGCGTGGTGGAAGATCCACGTCTCGTGACGACAGGAGTAGAAAACCCTTTCCTGCCTACAGATTTGAATCCAGCTCAGCGAGGTTTGAATTTTGAAACGTCCGCAGTGGCGGCACTACCGAAACTACGGACCATACAGCTTTTGCGGCTTGGTTCATGCTCTCGAGACAAAAAACATAGCTGTCATAGGGGGAGACCACAGTCCGGGGCCGATGCTCCCACCCACAGTCTTCCCCCGAGCAAAACGCACGTATGTACTATTCAATTTCCCCTGAAAAAGTCGATTTCTCATAGTCGCCCCCAGAAATCCAATTAGTACGCACGTATGTTATATTCAAATCGTACGCACGTTTGTTCTATTCGAACGGATGGGTGTTCTGTTCAAATAGAACACATGCTTTCCAGGTGCGTGCCCTGCAGTATTCCGCCCTTTCTCTCTCTCTCTCTCTCTCTCTCTCTCTCTCTCTCTCTCTCTCTCTCTCTCTCTCTCTCTCTCTCTATGTCCTACCTGATGGTCCTGTTTGCGGGAAGACTGGAGATACCTGTAAGAGGCACATACTTTTTCTTTTTTGGCCGGGGGGGTGGAGGAGCACTTTGGGAAGTTGATACCCTATATTCGAAGCATAACGCACCCCGTGCGTTCTATTCGCAAATAACGCACTTGTTCGGGGGAAGACTGTAGACATGGCTTCAAGTACACTACCGGTAGAGGAACTCAGCCACACGCCCGGCAGTGACGCCGACCCGAAGCGGATTTGGCGTGAGGCACACCACTGCAGTGCGGAAATTGATTCGCCCCCACCTTCCACAGCATACTCACACCACAGGGCTTTTTGCTTATCTTTGGACGCAATTGCCCTGTAGGATCTCAAATGTGGTCAGATACATTCAAGATAATACTACTGTGAGTACGCTATGGTGTACTATGACAAGCCTTCCGCCAATCGGGCTGACAGACGTTCTGAAACTGGCCGGGAGACAAGAGGTCGACAAGTGGCCCACAGAGGCCCCCAGAGGCTCGGTTATTTTCTTTCTTCGCACAAATTGACTGTCATCATCAATGTTCGTGGGGATCATTGACAACTATCTTATCTTTGCATCGTCTTGGAGACCTAAAATGTGTCCCTGATCCTGACTCAGATTTGATTTTGCAAAACAGAAAAGAAAGACAAAATGAAAAATAGAAGATTTTGCATCTGGAAGTGGCTCCGGCGTGGCACAACGGAACTGTAGACTGAGCACAGAGTCAGAGGAGGTGGGTGCCACACCGCCACTTGTTGCATCAGGAGCTTCACTTATTTTTGGGATAATTGGTAGAAAGAGCCCACACCAAAACCTTTCCGGTTTTGGGCGCCCTAAACTCGGCCGTTTGGTACTACCGGCCCAAACCTTCTTCAGCCTGGGTGATAGGCGCCTTGGCGCCGTGGCCACATCTCCCTGGGCCTGTTTTTACCGGTTCAAGAATTTGGTGCTGTTCTTGCACCAGATTCATGAACCGGTAGGGCCCTTCTTTTTCAAAATCCGGTACGTGGCCCTCATTCGATACTTCACCCCATCGTCGGCGTCTTTTACATCAAAATGAATCTAGGGCTGTTGCGTGCCAGATTCAAGATCCGGTAAGGCCCTTGGAGCGAGGTGTGGGCCTGTAGTACCCCACATGGAAATCATTGGACCGGTAGTACCAAACAGCCGAGTTTCAGGCGCCCAAAACCGAAAAGGTTTTTACGCAGGCCCTTTCTAGCGATTATCCCCTTCTTTTTGCCATCCGTGTCAGTGCCCGCACAGAAGTACAGGTACGTTGCTGACCTATTTGTTTGGAAGCGGCATGCACTGCGCAAATAAAAGTGAAGTCCCTGATGGACACAACTGTCCTGTCATGGCCAAGAAGACACTGCCACTTCAGCCAACAATAGTCAGATGGACATAAATGTCCTGAGTCATGGCCACGAAGACAGTGGATCCTTAGCGAAGCCGTACTGTAATACTGTAGCCCGTTCTTTCTTTTCTTGGAAGTTCATTTGTTCGAAGCCTAAACTTGAGTTTTAATCCAGATGGAGAACGAATGAACTCCCTAGAAAAGAAGGAAGGTAAAAGTTAAAAAACCTCCCCATGGAGAAACCTTTGTATTCATTTCACCCCAAATGGGGCAGAGGGTGTCACAGGCCCCAAAATGACTCTTCCTGTCATTTGTGCACCCTGGCTGGGCCGGTAATGCAAAATGGCGGGAAAGTGTTTTACACGCCCTAAGTGCAAAAATGAAACCAAAGGTCATTTTGGGGCTTGCAGCACTTTC